TAAATTGAAGGCTGACCTTTGTTATAACGGAACAATATTAGGTGAGAGGAAGACATGATTTCAGAATTTCATAGCATCACAGAAAGGGAAATTTCTAAAACAGACAAAAATAAACAGTTAACACCAAAGTAGCTGCATTAATTCAATATGGCTGAGAATCAAGACTGTATATCAGCCACACGTGCACAGCTGCTACAGTTATTTTACTTCTAGATATCTCCATCTCTTTTTGCAACAGTGCAATAACAGTTTAGTAACACTGCGGTCCTCTTGACCTGTTACTTGCCTTACCCTAACACTAAAACCCAGCATTTAAATGCCAAAAGGAAATGCTTTCAAATACTTGCCCAAGGACAGGCAAAGGCAGCCGTCGCATGGTCAGCATTATTCTACAGTAAGAAAGAGGGAGCCAGGCAAGCAAAGAGTGAGCGATGCTAAGGTATAGGTGCAGTACTGGAAATGAATCAAAACAAACAAGTGGAACAAAAGGGGAAAATGAACAGAAACAAGAAAGCACAGTTCACAACAGGCAGAACAAAGAGATACTTCAGAATGGAGTATAACTGTGCAGCCCCATGCATTTCTGCAAGACATAGGAAAATCGAAACAGCATCTTACACTGAAACACAGATGCCCTACATCAGCAGTCACCTGAAATAGGAAAGGCTGATTACCTCTCCTAGACAGCTCAAAGAAGTGAAAACTAGGTAGCAAGCCAGCATCTACTGGTTTAAAGCCAAACATATCCAGGATTTCCTCAGCCTAGTCAAAACAAACAATAGGGGAAAAGATTCTCAGTGGTCAAGGATTCAAATAAAACTCAGGAAGACTTCCTTTAGCTTCATCTTTAACAAGTTTCATTAAGGTAGCTTTTTTCAAACTCCAGCTGCAGAGGGAAAAGTGAGGGGAAACTGGAGGGAAAGAAAGCAAAAGCTTCAACATCTCAGGGAAAGGCAGGGTGAGCAGCACTTGGAGCAGGAGGAAAGATTTTGGGTCTCCCCCCCCCTCCCAATTCTTACCTCCTAAGATCCTCCCCCGCCCTGCTCCCTGAATGATATTTCCCAATGATGCGCTACACCAGGATGCACGTCCTTTTCCTTAGGCAATGCTCAAACAGAACCAAGAGTTCAAAAACCTCCCTATAAATACACTGATAAGAGTGATTAGGAAGAGAGAAGAACAAGAAGAGATGAACGTGGACTGCTGAACTGTCAGATGATAATTTAACAGTTAATGGCCTGAAGGTTTCTTATTGCCTACTTTTATGCTTTCTAGTGCTGCATTTGTGATGGAAGATTGGATATTTTTATACCAACAGCTAACCTGGAACAAGACGCATGTGGACGAAAGAGGAAAGGTTTCAAGCCTGGCTCAAAGAGAAGTAATGGCATCATCCTAAACCCAGCTACCACAGTGCTTTTGGCTTAAGTGGGCTCTTCAGGACTGGTTTCCACCAAGATCCCGCCAGCCAGCTGCATATCTTGGGTGAGAAGCCTGGCACCACCCATTCTCAGAGAAAAAGGTTCTTATTCTAAGAGCTCAACACCATCACAAAAGGGATGTCTGAGAAACGTACAAAAGAATGAAAGTAAAACGAGTACAGGTGCTAAAAATTTGACAAACAGCTCAAAATCCAGCCACATATCTTAAAACATACACACTTAAAAAAATGAAAATGAAGTTAGAAGTGTTGCTACCTGTTGGAGGAAAAGAACTAAAAATTAGCCTTTTCACAGACTAAGCAGACTGCCTATGCAATTTAGTTAGCAGAGAACCACTGAGGGGCAGAAATCAAGCTATCTTCTGGAAACCTTGTGCTGACGACTTCACTTCTAGCCGTATTATAAGCATTTAAGACTCTTTTAGCAAAAGATCAAGAGCTCAACATATGTAAAAGACACGGTCTTAGGTAGGACAGATTCTGCATGGAGATCTGCACAGGGTAAAAATGGGAAGAGAACAGCAGCTAAGAATAGCATGAAGTAGGGTACTTGCATGAATTGCCTTATTTTCCAGGGTATAATCAGCTGTCAGCAGGGATGCAAATGTAGTACCTAGTTCTTGGAAGAAATCTCAGGCAACCATGTTTTTAAGTCTGTAAGCACATACAACTGAGAACCATTTTACCACTTAATTTAACAGATTGTATCCCTAGTCAATATTTCCTGTTTTTTAACTGCATTGACAATTTTAGGTCTTGTATGAACAGCTCAAGTCAGATGGACTGCCGTACAAACTTCAGAAAGCCCACATTGACCAAACGCATCACCTGTAATCTCCTTTTCAACCATCAAAAGTCACAGTGAAAATTTATAGCCTTTAAAATTGTCAACAATGCTACAATTGTAGAACGCTGCAACATGGTCAACTACTTTCACCCCCACACTTTGCCTCTAATAGGCTCTTGCTTCCTTGCGATCCATGTACTAAGAAAAGGAGTCATGGGAAGCCAATCACAAAGAGTTTACAATCTTGTGTAATACAAGACAATGGACTCTGAAAACATCTTTTCATTTTTTCTAGAGTTATAACTGAAGATATCATTAAAACAGAGATGAGAGAGAAGACCTTACCTTCTGCTCCTTCTGCTTGGCAGCACTGAGTTCAGAGAGGGAGAGCGACAGTTTTTCCTGCTGCTCAGCTAGGTACTTCTGATAAAGGCTCAAAAGTTCCTGGCATTCTCTGTACTGTTGCTGCAGAGGTGAGATGTCACAAGTTAAGGGAAAAGTACTCTTTAGTGAATAGCTACACTCAAATAGATACCAACTTATTCTATGTAAATCTGATTTGGATCTGTAACAGTTCAATTTAAAAACAGATACTGTGTGTTTGAGTACTGCCTAATGATGATAAATCTGCCTGGAGATGAATGTCCAAGTACAACCTTCTTTCTACTCACAAAGTGGAAAAAAGAAGAATTGCACCAAATTCTTTTATCATTGGAAAAGGGAGGGCTGCAGAAGGCAGGTGATTACATTGTTTCAGCTGGTACAATTACAACCCTCTGATTTGTATTCAATAAAGACAGACACTACCAATGTTTATTTATAAATAAATAAATAGCCAGCCAAGTGAGTAAATTTTTAAGCACAATCCATTTTTTTTGGATTCACAGGCCCACACACCCAAATCCAATCCCTTTGCTTGAATACCAGTGGCTCAAAAACCACAGTCACAGATGCAGCACTGTAGGCCTTTTAGAGACGAGAAATGATTTTTGGACAGTTATCTGGAGAAGCAGCAACTGCGGTGTTTGCAAGGATATTAGCAAGCAACAGTGTCCTGCCTTGCTTGCAGCATTGAAATTCCAACAGGAGATAAATCTGCTCTTCACCTGTCATTGTGTAATTCCCTCCCTTGCTCATGTAGCATGGTAAACCATTTATGCTCCCCCTTCGTTCCCCCTCACTTTTAATTATGCATGCAGATGGGATAAGGGCTCGCTGTCCAAAGAGATTACTCTGAATAAATACTTTAATAACAAGTCACCACAATTAAGGTAGGGAACAAAAACTTCTTCAATCCATAAAATGGTGTTGAGTTACAGATTTCCTTAACATTTTTATGATCTAATCATTGCTTCTGGGCAAATTCATGTTGCAATCATTTTTGCCAATCACGGCTGCATAAATAACTCACTGCTTTGTTATTTCCTGTTATGACCCCGGCTTTTTTCTTTTTTTTTTTTTTCCCCTCTTCTTCTTCTTTATTCATCTGGGGGTGGGAATTGCTGGGTCTTTTTGTTTTGTTTTACTTAAATAAAAAGCTACACAGAGGACGAGCAAAACATTTTAGGAAGGAAGAAACAGGAGACTAATTTAACACTGTGGTTTAATAATCAGGAGAGCTCCTGGAATACCTTTGCTCAGCACCTGGAAAAATGGGAGGATACAAACAATGGTCTAAACAAGCTAATTGCTTTCCAGAGTCAGACCGCCTGAAGCCTGAGCTGTTTTACATTTCACTTCATTCCATCAGAGAGCACCAAAAGGCTGAAGTGATTTGTGGTGGTCTCAGGAGTCTCTGCCAGCTATGATGTATATAAAAGGAATTTTTTATTCCGGCTGTAACCATAGGCAGTAATGTTTATAGTAGGTGAACATATTAGCCTGGACGCAGGGCATGAATTTTACTCTAGAAAAAGCCAGTTCATTTATACAGCCTAAGAGTTAAATGTCGGTATTTGAAGACAAATTATAGGCAAATTCATTTAAACCCATGTTATGTGGCAGAATATAAAAACAGACAGTCCTATCTTTATCAATTTTTACAGCCCTCTTAATTCACTTTGCTTTCAGTAACCCCTTTCCCACAAAACAGATTTCACCCACCTCTCCCTCCAGCCAGCACACTTGCTGGCACACAGAATGACTACCCTCCGTGGCCTTTGGGTACACAAGCGATGGCGATGCACCTACTCTCATTCTTGCCAAAACGTTAACATCAGCCCTGCTTGAAAGTTAAGCCCTCTCTCTCAGCTTAATGTGCAAGTGTATAATAAAAGAGATGCCCAAATTGCATTTTACAGACTGCAGAGCACTTGCTGCGTACATGCTCCTGCCACCTCTTACTCGCAGCTGCCAAATTTAGTTAAAGTACAGCTTACAACGTGACATGGACCAGTAGCATTAGGAAAGTATGTAAGCAATGTTGACTGTCCAAGGGACAGTTATGTGATCACAAGCGGGAAGGGCAATAGTTAACATGAACTTGAACGGCAGCTGAGATGTCCCTGAAATTTTTCGTTACGATAGGGTCAGCACTGTAACTGTGGTTAAAATTTCTTCTATTAAAAAGATTAAAAACCTTTCATTCACACCACCTGAATGGTTCACTATACACTAAGCACCATATTGTTACAGCCATCATAGTCTAAGAATAAGCAAAGCAAGGTTTTTGATCAAGTAACTAAATACAATACTTCACATAATGAACAGGTTTTTTTTTCCTTTTTTGAAGGAACATGTAGCACAGTTCTAACTATGATAATTCTTCATAATGTGCTTGGTACATTTACTGCAGCATACTTTAAGAAATAAGCTTTAATATTAGATCCTACTTTTCTGTTCTACTGAATCTTCGCTAAAAGCAGCATCTCCTTTTCTATGTACAAGTTAGATAGGTAATATACAACACTGCCACAAAAATATTTAGGTCCTTCAGATATAATGGAGACACATATGTACAACAGGAATAGATTCTCTAGACAAATACATAGTAAATGATAAGTATTTTCATCAACTGCTTAAAAAAAACAGTAAATATTATAAGCATGAAAAAAGTCTATAGGACAACAAGTCTTATAGATTCACATTCCACAGAAAGCAAAATGTGCCTAAGTGCTCAAATCAGGTATTTCCTTATGCGTAGAGGAGCACAAACATCAGATTTATAAGATATTAGTTACCTGAGAGTAGTGGTGCTTTGCATTTCACTAAACTGTAGTTTTATGTCCAAGAAATACACATTTGAATGTATTCCAGTAATCTGTTTTATGCAGAGATTGTAAATATTAAAGTATTAAGGGAGGGAGAACAGAAAAAAAAATCAAAATCAGAAATGCAAAGGTTAAGATTAACAGCCACATTTACATGCCATACTGTAAGTACTATATATTTTATAGAATAAATTAGTTAATTTCATCACTGAATGCAAGTCACAGAATTAAGAGTTCATTTATGGCTCTTAAGAGATAATAACCTCACTGGAGACAGAGTTGGCTTTGCGAAGAGGGACTGCTAGCATGCTGTAGTGGCATGCTTACAGAGGCTAGGAACAGATTTCCAGGGAGGAACATTCGGCAGGAAACAAAGAGGGGTTTTTCATTTTTGTTCTTTTGGGATGGGGATGAGGTTTCATGAGAAGGCACAGCCAACCTAATGCTCGACTGCTGCAAAAAGCACGCTTTCACTCACCCCTGGAAGTCTCACCCCCTCAATTTGCACCAGCTCTTGAGCTCTCTTAATCCCTCAGCGAGCTCAGTTATTCTGAGGCCTTAGCAAACTGAACCAGCAAACCGATGGGTAAGTTGAGCACAAGAGCTGGCATGACGGAAGCAGAGGGAATACACAGCTGGGAGAGGAGGCCACCTCTTCCAGCAGTAGAGAGCTGTCTGGCAAGGTCCGTCCACCTCGAAAAGTTTCAATCCTAAACTTTTTCCAGCTCCACTCTTTAGCCTCAGGCTTATATCAAGTCTTATCTAAAACTACAGTTGACACCAACTGCTCCCACTTGTTCCTTGCTAAAGTATTTTTGACCCTCTCATGAGCTGCAGTAAGACAGAAGGGCGAGCAGTGGGGAGAAGAAGTGATAAGTCTCCAGCACTCTGACTTCCTGTAGTGCTCCCAGTGCAACATTTTCACAGCTGCTTTCACTATAAATAAAGGCCAGTTTAAAGTCTGAAGTATTTCTGGTTTTGAGCAAATTAGCAGCTTCCTAGAAAGCTTCTGAGTTCTACATGTCAACGCCCGTGCCTTTCTGTAAGCAGTGTTAGCTGCCACACAGCTTTATAGCAGTTCAAACCCTCATTGTTTTGTTAATGGAGAAGGCAGGTTTTCAAATCTGGCCAACGCCAGGCCACTCAGTGATGGCTAGCCGTTTGCTGTAGTTCTGCCTTTTCTAAATCACATTTGAGAGAAAAAGATAAGCAGAGGAGTTTTTCTTTAAAGAGAAGTTTTTTTTTAAGCCTGTATCACTCAAGAAGTAATGTTTGCTTTTGCCTCCATTTATTTTAAAGAAAAAAAATTAAATCAGACTCTGACCATGGGAATTTGGGGCTAGAAAAAGGAAGTTTTATAGACACTACTAATGAGATTTTTTTGGCAATCAAACAAATAACAAGAGGCCTTGCTATATTTGTGGAGTGTTTGTGAGAACTCATTACCAAGTGTTTCATTCCTCAACGATTCATCACAAGCCTTGTTGGGGAGGGCGTTAAGTGCTACCGTTCACATTTTACAAACAGAGAAACTGTGGCACAGGGAGTCTTTGGGCACGTCTGTGCACACAGGTGCAGCCCAGCAGTCCCGCGCTCCACAAGCCAACTCCAGTTCAGAAGTCTGGTAGCTGGAGGGTGAGCTAGCGCAGCTCAGGCACAGCACTAACACAGAACAGAATCATCCCGCATCTGATCAGCTTACGGTGCAAGTTTGTCTGCATTCACCCATGCAGAAAGCCCTAAGAGGCTTTCCAAGGATCAAATAGGATACCCAGGGTGGACTTTCTGTAGTCCCTTTCTATACTTCTGTAGTCCCCGACTATAATTCTGACTTGGACCATCCTTTCATTCAGGGCTGCATACTCTGATCCATGTCCAGAAGAGAACACAACAGCTAAATCTCCATCTTCAAGAACATGGTACTCCAATCCCATCAGCCTTTACAGCCAAGGAAAGTTCCCCCAGAGACTAAGAGTTATTACAGAGATCTGCAAAGATGGATAAAACAAGCAAAAGAAGGAAAAAGTCAAACAGGCACAAGTTAAATTATAAATCTAAGTAAGCTGATCTACGTTTTGTGGTAGACATGCAAGGATCATCTTCAGGATACGATTTTGGCTCATGATGAAAAAAGCTTTTTGACATCTGCAGTCGTGATCTAGTAGCCACCAAACACTTTTTTTTTTTTTTTTTTAAATTCCTGCTTGAGGGCATGCATCTAGAAAGCTGACTAGTTATCATATTGGCAGTCTCAGCAAAGACTA